CGCCCAGCCAGCAGGCAGACGGCGTGATTAGAGGCTCTGTTCATGCTAACCCCAAAGAGTCAAGTCACTTGTTTTCCACCATCTCTCATCTGGCATCTCGGTACCTATTTAGTCCAAAATATTACATAAATCAAGTATTAATGGATTAATATTAGAATTAACACACACACATCCTCAAGTGTGGAGTCAAGCAATGGACACTTGGAAAAGTGAATTAATAAGGCATGCTATGGTGTCTGACACTTTTTTTGAGAAGGATACAAATGTTTTTCTACTATACAGTAACATTCTTAGGACTAGATATAGCAAAAATCTATAACAATTTTAAAGAAAAATATTCAACAGAGTTTAAACTAAGAATAGAAGCAGGAATGAATATATTTAATTTCACAAATTTCATCTGAGAATTAGCAACTGGAAGGATAACTCCAATAAGAGGAGTAGCAGACCAAAATATAGCTTTAGTACATTTAAAACATACAAGTATTAGAAAGAAATAAAAAATATTGTTTCTTATACCAAAAAATAAAATAAAAAATTATTACTTGTCAAGTAGAGCAGGACTATCCCTAGAAAAATCAACCTGTGAATGATATACGACCAGATAGGATTAATAGGACAAAGACTTAGAAATTAACTTTTTGAAGAATTTAAGAAAGATTACACAAGAAAGACTTTTGAAAATGCAACATAATTATCAGAAGAAACAAAAAGATTAATAGTCACAAACACGTATCAACTAAACAATTTAGCTTTTAGAATAGAATGGGTTTTTGATAAACTAAAGAACTATTGCATAGAAGAATTATAAAGAAAGAAATGAAGAAAATTAAAGGGGAATATAGTTAATATGAAGAAATCTACACACCAGGATTTAGCGATTATATAGAGACAAAAAATAAACATTTTAAAAATAGAAGAGATAAGTTTCAAAAACCTAGTTATCAAGAAAGATATAAATATAGAAAATCTACTAAGTACCCTAAGAAATATCAACCAAAAAGACATGTTAAGAGATTTAATAAATACAAACCAAGAAAAGAATGTAAAAATGTTACATTTGTGACTCAAAAGATCATTTGACAAATAAATGTTCGAAATCAAATCAAAATATGAAAACTAGGGAATATAGTAAAATTATAGAAGAAACAGAACAAATGTTTATAAACATGTCAGATGATACAAACACAAACATTTTATAGTATTTATTCTAGTGAAGATTTAGACATTATGATAAACTTTTCAGAAAATGAATCCTCTTCGGAAAATGAAACAATGAACCTCTTAGAAGAACTAGAAAAGTTTAAACTATAATGATTTGTATTCATCATTCATAAGACACTCAGGGTGAAGGACAGATGTTCGAAAATGTAATTATTTCCCAGACAAGAATAATAAAGTAATACATAAAATTGTAACACTATAAGACATATTAAATGTTCGAATTATACAGAAGAACAGTTCTTTAGACAACAATTCATAGAAGATAGACATTTTATCAACATATCACTAAAGCATTTAGAGTTAGAATTAAAGAAAGAAAAGCACAAAGATAAAGAATTAGAATACTAGATAAAAGAGTTAGAATACCAATTAAAAGATGAAAGAAGAAAATATGACTCCTAGCTTAAAGAACAAAAAATAGAAATAAAATTATTAAAAAATCAAATCAAATATTTAGAACCTAAAATACCTAAAGAAGAACATTTGCCTCAAGTCTTAGGAAAAAGATTTTTAATTGAAGAAACCGTCGAGCCAAATAGTGAAAATGATCTAACCTTATTAATAGTACACTATGAATCGAAGAAGAAGAACAAATAATACCAACCTGTAAAGAAGTATAGACAGAGAGAGAGAGAGAGAATGAATAAGGTTTTGTATATTTCATAATGAAAATCAGTACAAGTCTGAGAGAGAAGTTCTCTGTTTATACATGCTCATTTCTATCTTTTTCAGTTTCTAACAAACTCATAACCACCTTATAACTTCCTACAATCCCAACTATCTAACTGACAGATTAGCACAGATTAGCTGATGTGGATAACAACCTTGCTGATGTGGATACCTTGCTGATGTGGATTGCTGATGCTTATGTGTATCATTCAACATCCCCCCTCAATCTCAACTGGGTTTCCTAGCTCGAGATTGAAAGAATGCTTGAGAAATGATGGACTATGCAGCCCCTTAGTTAGAATATCAGCAGTTTGTTCTTCAGTTGACAAGTATTGAACTTGAAGATCTCCTTGTTGAACTTTATCCCTTACAAAATGATAATCCGTGTCTAAGTGCTTAATCCTGGAGTGAAATACTGGATTTGCACTTATAGCAATGGCCGATTTGTTGTCACAATAGATCACAGGAGAGGAATGCAATACTACAGCCATATCTTTTAGCACACTTCTGATCCATGCTATATCAGCAGCTGTATGAGCTAAGGCTTTATATTCAGCTTCGGTAGAACTTCTTGACACAGAATCCTGTTTCTTTGATTGCCAAGAAATTGGATTGCATCCAATATAGACTACATATCCAGTGATAGACCTTCTGGTATTTAAATCTGCAGCCCAATCTGCATCACTGAATGCATGAATCCCCACTTCTGTATTAGCTGAGAATGTGATTCCATGATGCATAGTTCCTTTTAAAAACCGTAATATCCTTTTAACTGCCCCAAAATGAACCTCAGTTGGTTTAGCCATGAACTGACATACATTGTTTATAAAACTGTGCCATCAGGATTCTTTTTGATTTTGTATACCCATTTGCTGCCAATAATAGTCCTATCACTAGGTGGTGGTACTAATTCCCAAGTTCCTTGAGCCCTAAGAGAGTCATACTCTTCTTGCATTGCACTTTGCCACTGTGGCATTGTAGCAGCTTTTCTGAATGTCGATGGTTCAGCAGCATCACTATTAACAACCAAAAAGGAAAAACCGCCACCAAAGTAAGTGTCTTCAGCTAATTGAAGTGATTGAAGTTTAGGCAATGTAGCTAAATAGCCCTTATAACTCCTTTGTGGTATTGTACCACTCTTCAACCTAGTGACCATTGGATGAACAGAAGCATTACTTGATTCACCAAGATTAGATGATATATGAGATGAAAAAGGTAAAATTACCTCAAGCTGTGTGTCATTGTGGACAGGCAACATTTGTGGTACACCAATAGAGCCAGGAGTGATAGGATAGGAATCTGGAGCTGATGAGATACCCTGTGACAGTGATGTGGATTCTGAAATTGATACTTCATTTAAGGAACTTGATCTTTCAGTAGAATGAACACTATTATCTGATATAGAGAGTGGCATATCATGAACAGCTTCATCATTATTTGCCCTACGAAAATTCTGACCTTCTGTAACATTCTCAATAGGAACCTAAACTATAATAGGCCTCTGAGTAGTACACACAGTCTTTGAGCTGTCACTGAACTTAGTACTGTGCAAGATCTTATTTGGAAATACGGATTCATCATGAATTACATGCCTTGATAAAATCATCTTCCTTGTTTTAACATTGTAGCATACAACCCCTTTATACCCCAGAGCATAACCAAGGAAAACACATTGAACAGACCTTGCTTGCAGCTTATTGGCATTATAAGGTCTAAGAAATGGATATACTGCAGTTCCAAATACTTTTAAGCTTTGAATATCAGGAACCTTGTCAAATAACAGTTGATATGGAGACTTCATTTGTAACACTTTGCTTGGCATTCTATTGATTAAAAATGCTGCATATGAACAAACATGATACCAGAAAGATGGAGACAGATTTGCTTCAGACATTAAAGTCAATGCTGTTTCTACCAAATGTCTATGTTTCCTCTCAGAAATGCCGTTCCGTTGAGGAGTGTATGGACATGATATTCTATGAACAATACCTTTTGATTCCAGAAAAGCAACAAACACTTTACTCATATACTCTCATCCTTTATCAGTTTGCAAACATTTAATTTCAGTGTTGAATTGATTGGATACAAAAGCATGGAACTTTATAAATGCAGAAACTGCTTCAGATTTATTGACTAAAGGAAATATCCACAAGAACCTTGAATACTCATCAATAAAACTGATATAATATCTATATCCTTCAATTGACACTTTTGGAGAAGGCCCCATACATCCGAATGTACTATTTCAAACATAAAAGTAACACTACTTTGTTTTACAGGAAAAGATTGCCTACACATTTTACTTGAAATGCATGAAGTACACATTGACTGAGAAGAATCTATACTAACTGGTACTTTTGCTGCTTTCAACATTGCAGTCAATATCTCTTCAGAGGGTGTCCTAGCCTCTTATGCCAAATTGCACATCTTTCCCACAAAGCCAACCTTTACATATTGTGTTCCTTTATTCACAAAGCAAGATCTTGAAAACACTGTCACAGGTATTGTAAAGAGTTCCCCGTCACTCATTCCTTGGTAGAGTACCACATTGGTTGCCTTGTCCTGTATGAAAAACACAGTATCATCACATATAAACCAGCAGCCATTATCATGACATAATTTCTTTACTGATAAAAGATTCACAGTAATATGTGGAACATGCAAAACATTTTTTAGAAATAAACAATGATCTGGAGTAAAAAGGTTAGTAGAACCGATATGCTTCACATCCAAACCTTGACCATTTCCAATGACTATCTTGTCATCACCATTGTATGCAGTAACTTGGTTCATATTATTGAGATTTGCTGTCATATGATGAGTTGCTCCAGTATCGAGCACCCATGTGTCAGTAGCAGAAACCCATGTGGTTGAGACTCACTTGATGCTGGAGAGAAACTAGATTGACCTTGTGCAGATAAGGCAGTGAGTGATGGAGGCGGTGGAGCCCCTTGATATGCATAATTGTTCCTGTGAAAACACTCTAATGCATTATGACCCTTCTTTCCACAAATCTGACACACCAAGATTTGATACTGATTGGCATTAGTAGTACTTCTGAAATGACAGTTAGGTGCAGTGTGACCTCTTCTTGAGCATATTTGACATTAAGGGGTAATTGATGATTTATAAGTAGTATTCCCATTCCAATTCTGCCAATTTGAACCATTCTTTGATCCACCATGAGATGACTGACCAGTAAAACTTGACTGAGAATTTCTGCCTGGATCAGAAAAAGTATTAGTCGACCCTTTATTCTTGTTACCAAAGTAAGGTTTTGAAGCATTGTTTCCATAAGAATTCCTGTTAGAATTGAATGACCCTTTATTCTGAGAATTAAAGGTCCTTTGATTACTGCCAGTAAACCCATATCCTCCTTGATAGTCATTAGCCCCTATAATGGAACTTTCACCTCCTTGATAACCACTAGCCCCCATAGCTGAGCTTTCACCATGATAACTACCATTTGCTTGATAGGAACCAGTATGTCCTTTACCATTATCCCCATTCATATACATTGCTGCCATTGAACCTGTAAGAGCTGAAACTCTGGATTCTATGGTAAGTTCAGCACCAAGAAGCTGTGCACGAAAATCTTTCAAAGAAATTGGTGTCTCTCTTGCCAAAATCACAGTTCTAATCATATCAAATTCCTGTGGTAATCCAGTTAAAACAGCAATAACCATATCATTTTCTGAAACCCTTTCTCTAGCAGAGATTAACTGATCTCTGATAGCCTTTAATTTCAACAAAAACTTATCAATCGAATCCCCTCCTTTATTTGCAGTATGAAACTCAGTCTTTAACTGATTTATTCGTGAAACTGACACAGATGCATAACGATCTTGTAAAGCAGTCCATGCTTCCTGTGATGTTTTACATCCAATAACATGCTCCATTGCATCATCAGATAAAGTGACAATAAGCAAACTGAGTAAAGCCATATCCTTTTTGACCCAATTCTTATAAGCAGTAGTGATCTCCCTTGTCACACCAGTTTCAGTATGTATGACATATTTAGGTGGACAGGGATTGTCACCAGTAAAGAAATCCAGTAAATCATACCCACGTAAAACTGACTGAAACTGAAAATTCCACTTAACAAAATTATCATCTTGCAACTTCACAGTGAGCATGCCCAAAAGATTTTCAACCTTCACAGAGTCTATGGTATTATCAGACATATTGACAATTAAGATTTTAAGAATCTATCAACCAAGATTTCGTATATGATGAACAAACAAGATCAATTCAAGTGACCCTCTTTGGCAATCGGCCTTTAACAGAGGAAGTATAGCAGAAAACTTCAAGATTCAATCACTCCGGCAATTGGCCTTTGAGGAGGAAAGAATAAAATGGCAATCGGCCTTTGAGGAGGAAAGAATAAAATGGCAATCGGCCTTTGTAAACATTCACAACATCGAACAACTACAACTGGCTATCGGCTTGTATACAACATATAGAAGATTAGAAAGAAACTCACTGATACAAATCATCGAACACCTGGAGCGCACAAATCTTCATCACCAATGAAAACTCCATAGACAAGTAACAAAACCTCCCAAGAACAGCAAAACGTCCCCAATCTTACACCGAGATCAGTTACCCGTCATAGATACTACAACGGAAGTGGAAGAATCATCCATGGCGATGATACCATATTAACAGTACACTATGAATCGAAGAAGAAGAACAAATAATACCAAGCTGTAAAAAAGTATAGACAGAGAGAGAGAGAGAGAGAGAATGAATAAGGTTTTGTATATTTTGTAATGAAAATCAATACAAGTCTGAGAGAGAAGTTCTCTGTTTATACATGCTCATTTCTATCTTTTTCAGTTTCTAACAAACTCATAACCACTTTATAACTTCCTACAATCCCAACTATCTAACTGACAGATTAGCACAGATTAGCTGATGTGGATACCTTGCTGATGTGGATTGCTGATGCTTATGTGTATCATTCAACAAACCTTACAAGAATATCAAGAAATCAGTGTTATAGAACAAGTCTTATCTGCAGAAAACATGATCGTCAAAAGACCAACAGGAATTAATATATCTTGTACTATCTACTTCTCAGATAAAACAGAAACGAATCTAATAGCATTTGTATACACATGTGCAAGTAGAAGTCATATAGACAAAGAACTTATTCCGGAACAATTTCAGACTAAAGTTTATGGAATTCAAATAGAGGGAACACTTTCATTTGATACAACACTATTAAATTCATAGATAGGAGTAATATAAAACATCAATATAAATTTATATTGGGGTTTAATTTTATAAAATCATTAGGAGGAGGACTTCTCTAACCGAACAATCAGGTTATTTTCTTTGAGTGAGGTGTTATAATTCCTTTAATAGAATCAGAATATTAGCGTAATTGCCTAGATCATATTCATAAGAAGGATACCTCATCCCTAATGAAGAAGAATTTACAATTGAAGATTTTAGTCAAATAGGAGAAATTCTAGAAAAAGAATTAGAAATTAGAACAGAAAACCTTTACAATGATGAATCCTCAGAAGAAGAAGATGAAGAAAATATTTTTACTGGTAAAAGTAAATTTAGAAAGACAAAACCAGAACTTGATGCATTAATTAGAATAGCAGAAGAAACTAAAGTATTAGGAGAAAATCCTATCAGATATTGTGAAAAAAAAAGGTAGCTAAATTAGATATAATAAATCAAGATTTGAGAATAATTACTAAAAATATAGGTTATGACAATAAAGATTAAGAAGAATTTCAAAAACAAATTGAGGGGCTTACAAAATTAGGAGTTATAAGAAAAAGTAGTAGCCCACATAGATCAGTAGCTTTTATGGTCAGATATAGAGTAGAAATATCAAGAGAAAAAGCTAGAATGGTAATTAAATACCACAGGTTAAATGATAATACATGGATACAAGATACCTACTAAAGAAATCATAATAAATATAATTCAAGACTAAAAGATATTTAATAAATGGGGAAACTTGATATAGATCCAATTTGTGAGCCACAATTGGAAATAGTCCATTTATGTGAAATAGGTCCGATGACTAGGATTTCACATCAGCATATTTACATTTTCATACCAATATACCCCTAAGATTATAAATTATTATAAATATGTAATGCACATAATCCTTTAGTTTTAGGATTAGTAATTGAACAGATTCCTTAATTATAGGATTTGAACTAATATGTTAATAACTTAAACTTTCTCGTAAGAATTATAGGTTGGGTGATTTTGGGGTGATTGTATATGAGGGATGAGAAGGGGATGTCTATTGCGTCTGCTGTTGGGCATCAAGTGGAGTATCCTCCCCCTTTATGCTAAAGCTATTGCAACATGGAAGACTACATTGTTGCTCCACCATGAGTTGCAGGTGGTTGTGCTACGACTTTTCTGAGAAAAACTCAAACATACTATCATAGTACTTGTTGCTCTATAACAACAAGACGACGATTCTTCTACTTGGGTGCTGTTTAGAATGATGCACGACACTTTTTGCATTTAATTCTCGTGTCCGTTTTAATCATGCTTAAAGTGAACTAAACAGTGTGGCTCATATGCAAGGTGTGATGTGGGAAAGTCATCCGGATGCCACATTTGGTTTCATTGGTGTTTATCTACTTGAATTTTTTTTTATTATTATTTTTTTTATCAATCTACCCTGTACATATATTAATAGTATTTTATCTACCTATATATATCACATGTTTTTTTATAACTTATCTCAAATTAAATGTTTATGAACTTGTACCATAGGTTTTTGCTCTTAGTTTGTAGAGTATATATGCTTTCTAGGTATAAAGTATATGTCTTCCTATATAATAGGTATATATAGAGGTAGACAATACTTTTGTAGGACCTATATCATAGGTTTTTGTTCATAATCTACCTCACATGTTTTTCTTCTTTATAATGTGCCTATATTATAGATTAATTATATTGATATCACAGGTTTCTTACCTCTCCAAATTTTAAAATTTTAATAAACTTATCATATTTGTTGTCTATGAATTTTTAAAATGTTTCAATTAGAAAGTGGGTCCATAAAGGCATTTAAAATTTAAAATTTAAGAAATTTAAATCTATTTTGTATTTTTACTCTAAGGGGCAAAACGGGTATAATAACAAATTAAATAAAACTGGCTTGATTTGAAAATAGCTGAATATTTTGGACTTGAATCAAAATGCCCCTTAGTAAATTTGACTGTAAATCTAGATTTTGGCAAATAAAATTAGACAAAGAAAGTATCCCTTGGACAACGTTCAATTTCACTGAAGGACATTATGAATGGATAGTCTTACCGTTTGGATTAAAAAACACTTCGTCCATTTCCAAAGAAAAATGGACAATATTTTTAATGTTAAACCTTTTTCAGAACTTTTTATAGTTTATATATAGATGATATTTTTGTTTTGCGTAAAGATTTAGAATAACATTATGATCATTTACATCAAGTATTTTCGAAATTCTTAGAACAAGGTTTAATCATTAGCGAAAAGAAAACGATATTAGCTCAAGAATATATAGAGTTCTTAAGTTTAAAATTAGGAAAAGGAAAATTAATCTACAACCCGACGTAAGCAAAGGAATATTAGAAATGCTAGACAAGTTAGAAGATAAAAAATTACTACAAAGTTTTTTAAGAAAATTAAATTATGCTAGACCTTTCATTCAAAATTTATCAAAAGAAATTAGTAGTTTATATCAAAAATCAAATTTAATAAAAAGGATATAACATTAGCTAAAAGAATAACAACAACAACAACAACAACAACAACAAAGCCTTTTCCCACTAAGTGGGGTCGGCTATATGAATCCTAGAACGCCATTGCGCTCGGTTTTGTGTCATGTCCTCCGTTAGATCCAAGTACTCTAAGTCTTTTCTTAGAGTCTCTTCCAAAGTTTTCCTAGGTCTTCCTCTACCCCTTCGGCCCTGAACCTTTGTCCCGTAGTCACATCTTCGAACCGGAACGTCAGTCGGCCTTCTTTGCACATGTCCAAATCACCAGAGCCGATTTTCTCTCATCTTTCCTACAATTTCGGCTACTCCTACTGTACCTCGGATATCCTCATTCCCAATCTTATCCTTTCTCGTGTGCCCACACATCCCACGAAGCATCCTCATCTCCGCTACACCCATTTTGTGTACGTGTTGATGCTTCACCACCCAACATTCTCTGCCATACAACATCGCTGGCCTTATTGCCGTCCTATAAAATTTTCCCTTGAGCTTCAGTGGCCTACGACGGTCACACAACACGCCGGATGCACTCTTTCATCATCCAGCTCGTATTCTATGGTTGAGATCTCCATCTAATTCTCCGTTCTCTTGCAAGATAGATCATAGGTAACGAAATCGGTCGCTTTTTTGTGATCTTCGCTAGATTGCTCCGGTCATTAGTGTGGATAAGTATATAAATGGATAGAGATAGGAAAGCAAACACAAGATGTACGTGGTTCACCCAGATTGGCTACGTCCACGGAATAGAAGAGTTTCTCATTAATTGTGAAGGGTTTACACAAGTACATAGGTTCAAGCTCTCCTTTAGTGAGTACGAGTGAATGATTTAGTACAAATGACATTAGGAAATATTGTGGGAGAATGATCTCGTAATCACGAAACTTCTAAGTATCGGAGTGTGGTGTCGTCTTGACTTGCCTTATCTGTCTCATAGGTAGATGTGGCATCTTCTCTGGAAGTACTCTTCCTCCATCCAGGGGTGGTATCTTTAACTGGTGGAGATGCACAAGGTAATGTATCAATTTCACTTGAAGCTTACTTGTAGTTTCAGGCTTGGTCAAGCGCGATACAAACCATGTAGTAGGAGTCCCCCAAGTCGCCGAGCTAGGGGGTCTGCTGAAAGAGGTGACAGACAAGGTAAGCAATCAGAGCTCCGACTGATTGTTCACCTTCTCCCCATCTTGCAGCAGCATGAAGGATAAAGAGAAGAAAAATGAGAAGAGATGATATGAGATACTTTTGCTTTTGAAGAAGTAACTTTCCACAGGCTTATTCTTGAACTGAGCTGGAGGGTTTTCTGGTTTCCTCCAGAGTATAAGGCCGACTGAAGAATTTGAGGGTCAAAACAAGTCCATCAAATCTAGAGTACGTTCCACCCTGCTGATATGGGATACTTTTGCTTTTGACAGAGTAATGGATGTATCGGCACGTGTGCT